AAGATAACTGGAATAACAGGCAAGTTTGGCCTTGAAGTACAAAATGAAGCAGGGCAAAGGCTGGTAGAATTTTGTCAAGAGAATATGATGGTCATAGCAAACACTCTTTTCCAACAACCCAAGAGACGACTCTACACATGGACATCTCCAGACGGTCAACACAGAAATCAGATTGATTATGTGCTCTGCAGCCAAAGATGGAGGAGCTCTATACAGTCAGTAAAAACTAGACCAGGAGCTGACTGTGGCTCAGATCATGAGCTTCTGGTTGCAAAATTTAGGCTTAAATTGAAGAAAGTAGGGAAAAGCACTAGGCCACTCAGGTATGACCTAAATCAAATCCCTGATGAATACACAGTTGAGGTGACAAATAGATTTAAGGAATTAGATCTGATAGACAGAGTGCCTGAAGAACTATGGACAGAGGTTCACAACATTGTACAAGAGGCAGCACCTAAAACCATCCCAAAGAAAAAGAAATGCAAGAAAGCAAAATGGCTGTCTGAAGAAGCTTTAAAAATAGCTGAGGAAAGAAGGGAAGTGAAAGGCAAGGGAGAAAGAGAAAGATACACCCAACTGAATGCAGAGTTCCAGAGAATAGCTAGAAGAGATAAGAATGCCTTCTTAAATGAACAGTGCAAAGAAATAGAAGAAAACAATGGAATAGGGAGGACCAGAGATCTCTTCAAGAAAAATGGAGATATGAAGGGAATATTTCATGCAAAGATGGGCATGATAAAGGACCAAAATGGCAGGGACCTAACAGAGGCAGAAGAGATTAAGAAGAGGTGGCAAGATTACACAGAAGAACTACACAAGAAAGAGCTTAACACCCCTGATAACCACGATGGGGTGGTCAATGACCTCGAGCCAGACATCCTGGTATGTGAAGTCAAATGTGTCTTAGGAAGTCTGAGCAACAACAAAGCTAGTGGAGGTGACAGTATTCCAGCTGAGCTATTCAAAATCCTAAAAGACGATGCAGTAAAAGTGCTACACTCAATATGCCAGCAAATTTGGAAAACCCAACAGTGGGCACAGGATTGGAAAAGGTCAGTTTACATTCCGATCCCAAAGAAGGGCAATACCAAAGAATGTTCAAACTACCACACCACTGTACTCATTTCCCATGCTAGCAAAGTTATGCTCAAAATCCTACAAGCTAGGCTCCAGCAGTATGTGGACCGAGAATTACCAGAAGTACAGGCAGGATTTCGAAGAGGGAGAGGAACTAGAGATCAAATTGCCAACATACGCTGGATCATGGAGAAAGCTAGGGCGTTCCAGAAAAACATCTACTTTTGCTTCATTGACTATGCTAAAGTCTTTGATTGTGTGGATCACAACAAATTGTGCCAAGTTCTTAAAGAGATGGGAGTACCAGACCATCTTATTTATCTCTTGAGAAACCTATATGTGGGTGAAGAAGCAACAGTGAGAACTGGACATGGAATCAGATTGGTTCAAAATTGAGAAAGGAGTTAGCAAGGCTGTATACTGTTGCCCTGCCTATTTAACTTATATGCAGAGCACATCATGAGAAAGGCGGGGGCTAGATGAATCACCAGTTGGAATTAAGATTGCTGGGAGAAATATCAACAACCTCAGATATGCAGATGATACCACTCTAATGGCAGAAATTGAAGAGGAACTAAAGAGCCTCTTGATGCGGGTTAAGGAGGAGAGCGCAAAGGTTGGCTTGAAACTCAACATTAAGAAAACCAAGATCATGGCATCCGGTCCACCTACTTCCTGGCAAATAGATGGGGAAGAAATGGAGGTAATGACAGATTTTATTTTCCTGGGCTCCAAGATGGGGACTGCAGCTAAGAAATTAATAGACGCTTGCTCCTGGGGAGGAAAGCCATGGCAAATCTAGACAGCATACTAAAAAGCAGAGACATCACCCTGCCAACAAAAGTGCGGATATTCAAGGATATGGTTTTCCCAGTTGCAATGTATGGCTGTGAAAACTGGACCATAAGGAAAGCTGAGCGCAAAAGGACTGAGGCTTTTGAATTGTGGTGCTGGAGGAGACTCCTGCGAGTCCCTTGGACCGCAAGGCGATCAAACCGGTCAGTCCTAGAGGAGATCAACCCTGACTGCTCTTTAGAAGGCCAGATACTGAAGATGAAACTCAAATACTTTGGCCACCTAATGAGAAGGAAGGACTCCCTGGAGAAGAGTCTACTGCTGGGAAGAATAGATGGCAAAAGAAGGAGGGGACGGCAGAGGATGAGGTGGCTAGATGGAGTCACTGAAGCAGTTGGTGCGAGCTTAAGTGGACTCCGGGGGATGGCAGAGGACAGGAAGGCCTGGAGGAATGTTGTCCATGGGGTCGCGATGGGTCGGACACGACTTCGCGACTAACAACAACAACAACAACAACAACAACAACAGAAGAAGCCAGATGTAGGCTAGACACCAGGAAGTATTTCCTCACTCTCAGAGCAGTATGACGATAGAACCAATTACTTGGGGAAGTTGTGGGCTCTCTCTCACTGGAGACATTGAAAAAGCATTTGGACAGTTACGTAATTGCAGCAAGAATTACAATTGCTTCTAAATGGAAATCGCCAGAACTGCCAATAATTGAAGAATGGAAAAATAAGCCGGCAGAATATGCAGTGATGGCAAAATTAACTAATTATGTAAATAGAAGACCGGTTGAAGAATTTAATGACAATGGAAATTCTATTATACCCAGTACAATTAATGGGATGTAAAAGGGAGTTCTTTGAAAAGTAGCTGAGGATCTATAATTGACTTAAAGTGATTGGAAAATTTGTTGGTGTACAGAATAACGACTTCTTCCTTTCTGAACTCCCATAGAGTGTGGAATGACAGAAAGATAGATAAATTTGTGGGTTTGAATGTATTGGTTGTACTTATTTAAAATTCCATTGGCTACTTTATTCTGTTTTACTTTATTTTATGTATACTTTTCTTCTTTTTGTATTTTATCTTAAGAAAATTTTAAACAAGCATTTGTATAGTCATCTGAATAGGGTGGTGTAAGTTAGTGTCCTGCAAGAACAGGGGATTAGACCCGATGACCTTCTGGCCCCTTCCAGCTCTACCATTCTATGATTCTAAGCTTGTTTTATATCATACTGGAGCTGATAGTACGGAGAGGGATTTTACTATCTGAATCATTTGTACTGTACAATGCTATAACTTGGTGGCCTCTTCGATAGATCTACTAGCTCTCAAACTTGCAACATATTTCAAGTTCAAGTGGGTATTCACCCTATTATCCTGTCATGCCTATAAATTCCAAGAAGCTGTTACTCCAGCATTAAGATCTTAAAGAAGAGTTAAGCAACGTGGAGCCCACGGGCACCCCCTTGGCTCCTTTTCTGGCATCTGCCTAGATGTCCTACCCCTTCCACTTTTTCCATTCAATTAACACATTGTCTAACTGGCAGCTGGGAAATAGGTTTCCATTGGTGCTAAAAAGATTGTTCTTCGAATAGTCAAATGTGCTCTCCCTGCAAAAAGTCTGCCTACCTCTGACACGGAGCATACATTTCCAACTTGTGTCTCATAGGCTACAAGTCACCCGTGGAAGCTTTCGCTGTCCTCAGACATGACCCCACTGCCTATTTTGCCAAAATGATGTGGCGGTAGATGGCACCTGACGGCTGCTTATCAGGCTGGTGAGAGAGTGACTGCGAAGGCAGAGCACAGAGAAGGCCATCTCCATGCCCCATCCTTCCCATATAGCCTGCTTCCTCTCTCCAGCTGAACGCTGTTGGTGGGGGGGAGACACAATGTATTCCTGGCAAGCATGCAGGGAAGGCTTCAACTCCCCAGTCCTATGCACTAAGAAGAGGGACTCAGTGTCTCACTGAGAGGGGTCTCCAGGATATACATGTAAGAAGGACAATGCATGGTCTGGCCCTGTTCCTTGCCAGCCCAGGTGCCGATGACAATTCCCAACCTATGACCAATTCCCAGATGAAGCCCTTGGAGCAAAATTACTGACCCTACCTTAGGAACTCACTCCCATTTATCATTCCCTGCACTGCCAGGAGGGGAATAGCTGCAGCTCAATCATGACGCTTATACTTCTCATGCAAAAGGTTACAGGTTTCATCCCTAGCACCTCCAAGTAGAACAAGAGAAGAGACTTGTCTGAAATCAGAAGGAGATGCTTCCAGATGATAGGATGGTTCACACAACATACAACCTATTCTGGGTTATTTATTTAAGCCACATGTGGACAACACTCTGCATACCCAGCCCCTGCTCAGAGGTTGTTGAGTCATGCTAACCCCAGGACAGAGCATGCATTACACAGGGGCTGTTTAATCCTTGAATAATTCGCGCCTGTTGGCTTTGTGTGTCTTCAGAACCTCCGGGTGGGGCCTGGATATGCAAAGTGGTGCCTGTGGGCACTGCAGCTCATTGTGGGCTAAGTAACCCATGAGGATCCATACCACGTCATGCAAACTAGGTCAGTATGCACAAGGGACAGAACTGGCTTTTCAGGATTTTTGGATGGTAATTTCTATAATCCCGAGTCAGAATGGCCAATTGCCAGGGTGCTGGCAGTTGTGACCCCAAACATCTGGAGGGCACTCCTGGAGAAGGCAGTACCAAGGAAAGCGAACCAAGTCCTTCTTGCTTGCTATAAGCAGCCGGCAGCATTCCAAGAGGTGGAGTGTGTCAATTGCTGCGCTCCAGAGGGTGTTTCCTGCTCTCCCACTGACGACTGGCACTGCCTTTATCTGACACTGAAAAGCACATCCAAAGCTACACTCTGAGCACTCCGCATAATTCAGGTAAGGGCTCCAGACATGACACTTCAACAGAAACTACTCAGCCGAGTCCTAAGAGTCTCAGACTGGGCCTCTCCTGGCAGAGTTCCTGACCAAGGCCCTTGAAGGGGGCTGATTTTTCAGGCCAGGCAGGCACAATCACTTTCTACTCCACACCTGCATTCATGCCCAAGCCCCAAGCCCTGGCTCCAAAACTATGTTGCAATTGCCACATACCTGATGAAGACAGTCAGATGATCCCAAACACAGTCTGCAAAGTAACTGAGAGCAACCAGAAGGTGGGAGTGGATGCTTGAATCTCTCTCTTTCTCCCTCTATCGCGGTGAGTCCCAGTAAAGTTCCAAGAATCAGTTTTGAAGCCTATTCATGCTGTGAGGCAGCAGCTGTGCCCAAAGGCCCCTGGAGACGCAAGAAGAAAGATGCTGTCAGTACATCTGAGGCCGCTTTGGTGAATACGCAGCGCATAATGCATGAAGAAGTGGTATCCTGCCCTCCTCCTCGTCTCTTTGGACACGGGAAGCAATCCTGCATTGGCTGGCAGAAGAGAGTGGGATGGGTCAGCTGCCTAAAGAGGCCTTTTCTCAGTTCTAATCATCACAGCAGGCAAGTCTGCGCAAGGAAGCAGAAACTCTCCCCACCCCGGAGAAACCTCTGGAGAATGGTCAGCTTTCTCAGTCACTTCAACTGGGCTTTTTGCCATCAGCAAACCCTAACAGTTCCCTCCGAGTTATGCCTCTTATATACCGCACTTAGCTGGAACATGGTGCGCAGCATTTAGCAACAGCCAGGGAATATGTGGGAGGATCTTGCACATACAGACACACAGAGTGTCCCCACCTCATCTCCTGTCACTGCAGTAATCCATCAAATCCATCCAATTCAGCACGTGCCTTTTTGTGATTCTGCAGTGGCAAGGCTGCCGGCTACTATAAGGGCCCTGTCTGGGAAGGAGGGGCAGAGGGGGGCTTGCACGGAGTACGGTGCCTGCTCCCTGTGCTCCCAGGGGCTATCAAATGTTACAACCGGAGATTTCCATCCCCAGGCTGAAAACACAGAAGGCAGGCTTTGTTTTGCCTTCTGCTTTTTTAAATATGCCAGAGAAAAGCTGTGTGAATTATGACTATTATGACACAGCAGCCTGACCACCGCAGGACTAGTAGTATGCAGTTCAGCTGCTTGCTTTCTCATCTCACGCCTGGAGCAAACACATCTCATTGCCCTTATAACCGTATCAGGGAACCATATGGGCTAAACATGGATGAATCTGACCGGCTGTCTATCAGAGACTTCATGATAGTTTCTTCAGATGCAGTCATATGAGGGCTTGCCCAACCAAGGGCCACATGCTATTTCATGGTTGTCTCCTTGCAACAATCATACATGATGACGCTAATAAAACCATTTCAGCACCAAACCTTTGTTGGGTCATCTGGAATCATTCCTGGGTTGCTGAAATGTCGAAATGCTTCCATCTCTTCTACTGCTATAAAACAAGTGTTCAAACGAACCAGTGAGTTATAATAGCTATTGTGCTGGCCAGGACTAGTGGGATACAGGTTCTAGTCTCAGCTTAGCCTAAGAAATTCACTGGATGACTTTGGACCAGTCACTGACTCTCAGTCTAACCTACTGCAAAGGGTTGTTGGGAGGAGGAAGTAGGAAGAGGACCAAGCAAGCTGCCTTAAGTTCCTTGCAAGAGGAAAAAGGAAGGATATAATTGCAATAAGAATCATAATCATAATTTGGCATCCTGCACCCAACTCATCAGCGTCTCCTAGCCCATACAGCTAGATGCTGACCTGGCGGCAGATTCCAAAATAGGCCTTCCTTTCTTTCAAAGGACAAGTGGCCACAGAACTCTTGCTTACTCTCCTCTCTGCTCTCACACCCCAGTAAATCCTCCCTTGCTGGCCTTTACTGCTACCTCTTTATTAAGACAATTGAGGTAAGAGCTTCCTGTAGGAGAAGGGAGAGTTCTGTACATAACTGGAGTGGGGAGGGGATAGAATCATGCTTGACTTTATTTGACACTAAAATGCAGAAGAGGAAAATTATATAAATTGTCTCATAATCTTGGAGGAAAGAAAAGACAGAAATGCAATAAATAAATACATAAATATGTGTGCAACCTTGCAAAGTCCCAAAGTAAGACCAGTCACACTTGACATTGCCAGATGTACTTGCCGCACTTACACCAGCATTCTCTGAAAGAAAGATGAAGTGCAGAAGGGTGTGGCGCATCTCCAAATGTGGTATGTATGGACTGGAAGCCTTGGGGCTAACATGGTGCACATGGTGCTGCCTTGAAACAAGAATCAACCCTCAGCAAGCTGAACGGCATGTGCATCCATGCAGACAACCGATCAGAACAGAAACATATAGAATATTCCCAACATGCTCAGTCCAAAGCACGAGAGGATCCAGTGGGTAATGCTATTATATTTTAACTCAAGTAATTATGGTTTTTTTTTTTAAAAAAACCATATATATCCTACCTTTCTCCAAAGTGCTCTCCCTCTCCATTTAACTTCACAACAACCCTTTATGGTAGGTTGGAATGAGAGCTGGAAACTGGGTTATGGTCACCTAGAGAACTTTGTGGCCAACTGGGGAGCTGAACCGGGATTTCTCCAGTCTAGTCTGATACTCTAATGAAGGCTTCCCAGATGTGGCCTCCAGAGATGCTGAGCTGCAGTTCTTATAACCATGCTGTCCGATTATGGAAGTTGCAGTTCAACGCACTTGGAGGGCAACTGGTTGTGGAAGGCAGTGATTCCACTGGAAGTGCAACGTTTTGAACTTCACAAAGCTCTTCTTCAGGCTAAGTGATTGAGGATCTATGGTAAGGGCTGCTGCTCAGCTGCGAGTAGCGGTTTTGCACACACAAAGTGAGAGATGCAAACCCTGGCACTCCTGATAGGAATGGGGGGCGGGGGGGGGGGAACCTTGTCTAAATCCTTGTACAGCCATTGCCAATCTTTGCAGACCATACTGTGGACCAACTTGGTATAATTTTATTTATTTATTTACTTACTTATAGAAGGAGCGATCCTGTGGCCTCTGGGGGACCAGTGGGTATTTCAGATTTGCAGTTCCAGGGTTGGAGACTGTGCTCCATCTGGGAATTTGAGCTCCAGACCCTCCTCCCCCTCAGAGAGAGCCTGGAAAGAGCTACACTGGCTGTTCTCTGAGACCAAGAAAGCAACCTTGGAGCAGGGAGAAAAGAGTATCTCAGATAGGCAGGGAAGAGGAGAGACCAGGGAGGTAAAGACACAAACTATCCTGAAGCCTCTCCAGACTTCTTCCCTCCATCTCCAAACTACGCCAACTAAATGGGCAAAAAGGCCCGTCAAGCAACACTGCAGATTGGGAGGCAGAGATCACATCTGCCATTCTTTCTCCTCTGTGCTGGATGACCATAAGCCACCATGTTCAGGGGCTTAAGGCATCCCCATAGGATTGCGCTTTTATTAAGTGATTTCCTTTTAATCCACCCCAAAGCCAATGCTCTCTGGATGGATTATGCACATCTAAAAGATTAAAATGCTATACAAACATTAAAACTATAAAATACAACCAAAGATTCCAAAGGAAAAAAATTAGCTCTGTACTCTTACCTTTTCATACAGGACTGAAAACTTCCAATTCCGCTTCCCTCTTATTGTCTGCTTCCCCCTTGGCACAACATCCAGGCTGCTGGCCTAACACTTTGCAAGGGCAGCCTCCACACAGGTTTATATAGGGAGACTATCTGCTCCTACCCCCACTAGAAACTTCACAGACTGTTTGTTTTGGATATTAATTGCCTCCTGCTCATACACTGTGCCTTAACAACAATAATGCCCTAATACCACTGAGTCTGCATGATGCATCTGCAAAGCTCTGAGCAAACATTAACTAATTAGATGGCAAACTCCCCACGACAGGGACTTGTTACTTGCTTGGCACTGATCTCTGTGACCTCACAGCTACTCATTGGCTGTTGCAGAGCTACAGTGTTTTTCTTGTGCTGCATCACAGAGGTTAGCACTTATTCTTGGCATCCTTGGAAATGGCACCCAAAGCTGATGTGGGTTTGCAACATTCCTATATCTCTAGATTTTCCTGTGCCTTAGCGTGCAGATCTAGTGGGGCAGATCTTGCTGGACCAAGGGCACATCTGGCAGTCTGAAAAGCTGTCCTGTGCACCACCACAAAACGGCACGACAAAAGACACAGCCTACTGAAAACACTGAGTACAGGTCTGAGTACAGAGCTGAGCCTTAGCATTTTAAAATTGCTTTGAACCCAGTTTTCAGCACTGATAGAAGCCTATTTCACAGCAATCCTAGCTGCTGGTAAAAAAAGACATGATTTTTTTTAAAAATGTAATGTGGGTGATGTGAGTGGGGTACAGTATCTTAGAGAGGCATCTGAGGGGGGCTCTGCTGCCCATGGGCTCCATGTTCTCTAACCCTGGCCTAGTGCAGGCTTCCCCAACCTATGTGCCCCGCATCATCCCCAGCCACACCTGCAATTCAGACAGGTGCTGTCAACTGGTACGTGGCATAGTGCATTTGATTTCTATCCTGCCCTTGCACACAAAGGGTGGCTGACAACCTATATCAAATATAAACCGTATTAAAATAATGATGCTAAAATTACAAGTATGTAATAAAATACCATAAAAAGTCAACACAAGGAATAAGAACAAACAGAGCACTTGCTTTATCCCTTCAAAGCCTGTATTAACAAATAGGTCTTTTGTGAGTGCTTCAGTGACAACAGTGGCATAGAGGATATGAGGATAAGTAATGGATGGCTGCTATAACTATTAGCTGCTATGCAAATATTTATTGGTTATATTTTTATTCTGCCCAATAGCTAATATTCCCCAAGAAGAACTGTCAAAATTAAGCAGTTCATAAGGTACAATGGTAGTAAATGTGTGTGTTACCTCCTCATATCCCCTGGCCCTAGTTACATGAATGCCAAAATTCAACACAAAGCAGTTGATATAAAATGCTACCCCTGCTTAGTTTCCTGGGACAGCCAGATGAAATTTATTATCCCTGCTATCATGTGATAATCTAATAATTTCTGGGTTCCCACTATTAAAACTCTTCAGGACTGCCTTCTCTTCTAGGCCATTTCCTGTGCATTCTGGTTAATAATGGAAGTTGTGCTTTGTATATCTCACTGCCAGCTGAGGTGCAATAGGTGGGTAAGAGAAGGATGAACTTGTGGTATTTATGCTCTAGGATGTGCTCCACAGCCCAGAGAAGTCCACTAGTTTCTCATTTGGTATATGTTGTGGTCCTTTTGCTTATACTTCATCGGACTGATTTGTTGTGTGCTGCTTGTTTTAACATTTCTTGCCATAATCAACTTGGCCTGTGAAACAGAGGAAAAGCTGGGTA